TTTAAATCAGGTTATGCCCACCAGACTCCAGCTTAATACCCGTAACTCTGACCCCCGCCTCCCTCCCCCCACTCTGGTCCCAGAAACAAAACAGATTGTCCTCTCCACTCTAAGACAAGGACCTCTTGTGATTAACGGCGGGCTTCCTCCATAAATGAGTGGGGACCTTTGTCGTGACCAGAGGAGGAGCCCCCAGATGTGCATTCACCGTACATCCAAGATGTCTCGACAATCCGGACGTCTTTGTCCGTGGTAAACGTTGGCTTGTCTTTTTGGCTGAGCGGCAGGTGGTTAATTCCCAGAGAGGAGCTAGTGCCGGAAGCAATTCACCCTTCATACGGGCAGGTGGCACTTGTTCCTCAAACGTCAGCCTCGTGCTCACTGAACGCCCGACAGGCCAAGGGTTACTATCAAGAGACGCGTCTTATCCTCGTGCGGTGTTTTCGCAGAGCCTCCCTCCGCTTGATGTCACTGCGTTTGTCTATGAGGTGGTCTTTCAAAGAGAATGGCTCAAATCTGCGTCTTTGTCTTCTATTTTAATTGGTGCCGGTTGCCTGATTTCACGCTTACCTTGTGAGACATTAATAATTTTAGCTGACATTTCGTCTCCACATTATTGCTAAGAGCCCAGTCAATACCACGAGGACTGAACACGGGGCGCCGGTGGTGTGGTTAGTTAACGCGTCTGGGAAACCTGAGGTACGGGGTACGATTCCCGCGGTGCCCGCCCTTCCTGCCAGGGTGAGAGGCAGGCGACACTATATGGCCTCAGCAGCTGAGTGCGTTGTAAAGCCCCAATGACACACAAGGATTGAACACTCAAATCGCCTCCTTCTGCAAGGAACTGCCAGCAGGCGTCAGCTGATTGGAAAGTGCTCCTCCCGTGGGAAACACGGGCCGAGGAGACTTCACGCCTTGTGGCCAGTACCTGCAAGCATTCCATGAGTACACACTTCTTAAACATCCAAGCACATCCAGTACGTATGCACGGCCCATGTTGCGGGGCCTTCGAAACCTAAGTACCAAAGGGAACAGCCTATTGAGAAACTAGCGAGAAGTGGATCGTGGCAGCAAACGTACTGCTGACCGTCAAAGGACCTCTGAGACGGTGCAAATAGTGAAAGACAGATGACTCACCCCTCCCGGGAGACGTGTCAGTGTATTAACTAAGGACGTACCGGATTTCCACGTAATCGCTGCACTTTGAATCCGGGCTGGCTTCCGCAAGTTCAAAATAATCGAACGCAAGAGTCAGGCCCATGCCACGGCCAGCGAGGACCACCAAGACCGAATCAAGGACGTCCCAGTAGCCGTACGACGCGACGTTGCCAGCGTTTTGTTCATCGCTTGCGCATCCTGGGGAAATGAAAAAAAAACGATTGGTAGACACAAATACGCGGACGAAACATATGTGTTTAAGTTATCTACGGCCTGGGCACAACTGTCTAGCTACGGCTATCTGGACGCAATGCTGACAGGGTGTTTGGTGTCGCAATGCCACAACCGCAGCCAAAATCGAGCCCTCCTCCGTTTGTTGACTCTGCTTCTTGAATCCGTCACACAGTCGTTTATTCGTGGTTGGCCCAGTTATTTCCTGAGCCCGAATAGTGTGTTAGTAGTATGTGTGTGTGTACGTGTAAATGTGCTCTGGACTCCTAGTTGGTTATTGTCCTTCCATGAAGGCCAGTAGCAGATGCAGTACAGCAGTAACGGCAACCACATTTACAGTAAGGCAGTCAGATGCAGTATATGCACACGCGGTTGGGACGGGTCAATTTTATACAGCAATAGCGGTGATCTGGTGCTTTCTTCAGATGATGGGAGCGCCATGGTTTGATTACGTCATCGTACCTTGCATAGCATTGATTGAGAGCCAATTGACAGCCGTTTTATCTGGAAATCACGCTCACGAACATCAGATATAAGCACCTCGACAATTACATTTTTCTGTTCCTTGATTGCCGCACGACTTATGGAATGGCAGGATTTAAATGGCGCTATTATGACGTCATGAATGCCAAAGTGACTTAGAAGAACTCTCCCCGGTATATTTTTTCACATTTTCGCGGGCGTGTAGCTCAAAAACCAGAGGGGCAGAATTGTAAACAGCACCGAAAAGAAACCAAATTCTTAAGAAAGGCAGGATTGCAGTCAGCATCGAAAGGATCTCAAGATGGCCATTTCAGTTCAAGATCCCATATTAATGTGGAACACTACCTTGAAGCCAACGGGGTAAGTTTGCACGTACCATGTGTGTCACACCACTGACGTGGTCACAATTTAGCACGGCAAGTTGATACACTACTGCGAAGTATAAAGGAAATATCAGTGCCATACTTCGAACCAGGGGAGAAAAGATGCCTTTCTGCCACCGGCGAAATTTAGAACCGTCTAAATTGTCGCCTTAAGCCAACTATTGTTTCGGAAACGTTGCAGTCTAACGCTAAATGCGGTAAACCACAACTACAAATGTAATGCAATGCGGCGCAACCATAGCAGTTTTTTGTTCCAGAAGCTCATTTGCACTAAAGTATCATTTGCTGGCCATCAAACACTGAGTGAGGGCTGAGACTAATTTTACAAAAAATGATCAGATAAAGGCATACGTAACATAACCACCCTAGAGGCGTGTTGTTTCGAATTCAGTTGGGGCAGCATTGTACCCTCTAGCCAAAGATGAAGTTTTCTATTTTTGAAACAATTTTCTGTCATTATCTTTCTACTTAACTTTCAGTTTTCATAATGCCCCAAAACTTATTTTGAATTCTCCGCTTCCAACACTGAAAAGAAAGTGCGTTCTGGGGAGAAAAATAATTAAGTGCATTTCGGAGGCAGATCCATCTACGTATTTTGCAAAACCTCATCCCTGTAGCCTACATTTTCCGATAACATTCTTCTACAAGAACCTAAAACAAAATCACTTTCGGTTTTGCGATGTCATTGTACAATCAGCTGGAAGCATTGACGGCCTTTATTATCTCGATATAACCATTACCGGAGCAGAACTCGCACATCCTAACATGATCCCAATTAATTAGTGCAAAACCCATGTAATATCGGTATCAACAAATTCAAACGACATTTTGAACAGCTCTAAAACCTTCATGAATCTCAATAAACGATATGAGGGCAATTAGAAACGTTTTATCTCACGCCTGTCCACCGGTTAGAACGTTAGATCTTAGGCGCGACGGGCAGTGTGAGAGGCACACACCAGCGACGCTCGGCATCTTACGTTCATCTCAATTACGTTTGCCGAGAATGCTCCAGAAAGGGTCTTAGAAGGGGACGTAAAGTTTGTTTGAAGTTCAGCACACCAATAATATTTTGTTTGGGAATGTTTGGACTGAAGGTTTTTAAGATTTCAAGCTCACCGTGTACTTTGAAGAAGTTAACAATTTTGTACAAATAAATATAGCAGGATGGGCTGTTCGTCAAACTTGAGCTGCACAGTTCGGATGAAGAACAATGCAGCATTTGCCCAGCCTCTGACATGGCGTGTCACTCATCACAAAGTCATTCAACAACGACGAAGGTACATTAATGAATTGTTGGCACACGGCAAGACTTGAGACACCCTATGCGATAATTTTTTGTTTTTTTAACCCCTTTTTGTTACCCCCTTACCTAGAGATGCACTATGGGAATCGTTTTGCACCATATAAATGCACTTTGGGAGCATGCAGCATATATGGCGCGGAACTCGACTCAGTTCCTATGTCTTGGATCTTAAAGGATGCAGGAATAAAGTCATTTAGGAATTTTTGGGAAATACTGCGAGGGACTCTTTGGAGAACCAAAGATTTCAAAATTTCAAAGTTTTCAAAGATTTCTCCATTTGAAAGTTCTGTATAACGTGCCATTTCATTCTGTCTAATGTTTCATGCTGGACTACTCTTCGACTAAATGACATCTGCCTCTGCATAGTTCTACTCCTACCTTTTGCCAAGTGAAACTGATTTCCTCTGAGCCTCAGCTTAATTCCCAGCGCTCGGTGCAGACCTACCTTGTCTATCTCCTTCTTAATCTTGAATGCATCTTTCATATCTCCTTGAAGTCTACGATACAAGAGTGAATACAAATCCATGACCCTAACTCTCTTCTTATATTATAAGTCGCCAACCCCATTTATCATCCTAATTTCTTTTCGCTGTACTCTTCCCAGTCACCGGAAGTGATCCGGTTTTGCATGCTGCACTTTTTGCACTGCAGTGGTGGGTTAGAATGAACTTCCGGAAACAGAATACCAGAATGAAACCATATAGTTGCAGGCCCGGATTCCTAAACATCAGTTTGATCAGACTGCAATGAGGGCTGTTGACTCCCGTCTTGTGCCAGACGTCATCCGATTCAATCAATCTGTTTTTTTTTTGCGTTCATCATCCATGTGGCCCATTGGTACTTTAAGCTGATAGCAACTAGTTAGTGCATGCACATTTTTAGTAGAGCAGAAAATTCAACCAAGGGGATGGTTTTGGTCTTACGTGCACTGATTAGCCGTGGAAATGCTCCATGATTTTTAAACGACATTTAAGTGAGTGATATGACATGGCAGAGGTATGACAGACAATGCGGTCTAGTCGGTGTGTCGCAAGTTTACAGCTTAACTTTCGCAAAGTTGAGTTACTTGTCCTGCCCTACCTTGGTCTGGCACACATTTTATTCAAGTACTTGGATGACATAGCCGTTACATTTGCATGATTGAACACAGCGTATTGCAAAAAAATCTTTAAAAAATGCTGGATACGAAATACTTTTTTGCGGGAAAACACCCCGTGACGCCTAAGGCCCCAGAAGATTCTTCCAAACTATCCGAAATTCAGTTCCAAATCCTGAAATATTCCGCACCCACAATGCAAGTATCCCACCCTGGGATCCATTTCAAGGACCTTTCCGCACGACTGTTTGGTTACCATTCCCTGTGCACTAATTTACAATTGGAGTTCCAGCCACGCAGATGCTGGCTTGCCCGGCCAGGAGGTGGATAAAGCTGGCTGCATAATGGCTGCTGGCTTTCTGGACCTGTACCTAGGTGAACCATAATATTACGGAGTTTGCCACGCGCTGAGTTGAGATACTATGCCCATCTATTTTTCGCATGTCGGTCATGGACTTGCACTATATTCCTTAGCTTTTCAAATATTTTTTTTTTACAGCTGCATGGGAGTAACAGTGGAACTAAATCAATCATTTTCGAATAGCCCATTTGACCACACTTTAAATGATAATTCTTGCAAACTGTTATGACCTCTGATAACAAATCGATCCCCTGTCGGTCATGTAAGTATTGGGCATCAAATGACCCTAAACAGCCACGTCAAGACATGAAAACGGAAACCAACGAAGAAAATCCGATGCTTAATGACCGGTGGCCGGCTAGATACCCTTCGCTCGGGTGGGGTTGGGGGTGTCAATTTAACCCCCCGAGATCTCGGGAACTAGGAAAGCTGGAGACACCAAATTTGCAGGGTGTCTTAACCTATACGTGAGCTCACTTAGGTTTAAGTTCGAGCTTCCTAGCTTATGACCTTCAGATCAAGTAAGGTCAAACAAGGTCAAATTCCAGGTTGGTCTCCAAAATGCCCCCAGAACCTAGGCAAGTGTTTCTAAGCAAAATGTCAAAAGCCCATTTGAGGTCAGTGACCTTTTTGACTTTTGAAGGTCGTTGTGACCAAAATCATGTGAGCCTGCTCTGCGTTTTGCATTTGAATAAGCGACAAAAATTACGCTAGGCAGTATGTTCCTAAAACAAAATCTCGATCCAGGTCATCTCAGGTCAATGACCTGTTCTGACCTATAAGAAGTCAATGGAGGATGTATGATGCGGTTCCTGCTGTTAATAAATTCGAAATGAGCATCACAACTATCCCATACAGCAAGCCCTAGAGTAATAAATCAGGTTGGTTTTGACCGTGATCTGACCCTTATATCTGACTTAAGGTCAAAGTGATTTGCTCATTCAATATTTGTGTTGCCTAAGACAGCATCTGAGAGAAGTATGGCTTCGCCAAACACTCCGTTATTATAACAAATTGGACGATTCTATAGAAATTGCCTTTGCTGAAACCATGGCTTGACTTTGCCCTGCCACAGGCCAACGGCCTTACAAGGTACATCTGAATTCTATATGTCAAACGATCCTCTATTCAATTGTCTGCAGGCAAAATTTTACGCGGGTACGCCGCGCCATTCAGAAGCCATTTTGGAGAAACCTTCGTTGGGGGAGGGGGCCAATTTGACCCTCCACCCGAGCGCGTGTTAAGGGTAAAACCAAGGTACTCTATTGCGGGACTCACCGGCGTCGCAGGTGCTCCAGTCGATGTGGAAGCCACGGCCGGAAGTTGAGTTGTCCGTGAAGAGTAAAATCGTGATCGCATTGCCCGAGGAGGAAATCCCACGTTGTGGACAAACTTCGCTGCCACAGAAAATATCCAGAGGGGTCTGGTACATAGAGGTGCCGTCACTGCGGACCACAGAAACGCTTCAGGTCAGCTGGTGAGCCCTGGTCTCTGTCAGCCGGCGAGCCCTGGTCTCAGTCAGCCGGTGAGCCCTGGTCTCAGTCAGCCGGCGAGCCCTGGTCTCAGTCAGCCGGCGAGCCCTGGTCTCAGTCACGGGGTAACGGGTTCCAACATGAGACGGACACTCGCCCCAGTCACAGGAAAGGTGGCTCTCGCTCCGGTCACCGTAGACAGGGCTCTGTCAACAGGCGAGTGCTGTCTGTTGCAACACTTGGTCAGGTGCTGTCAACAGAGGGGCTGCCCTCCCGCTGCCGGCGCCACTGCCCCTGTCGGCAGACGAGCTGTCTTGCCTGCTACTGGGTCACAGAGAAGATGGTAGGCAGACCCGGGAGGAAAAAGCTTCCCACGACTTGGAAACACGGTGGTAGGGGGAAGACACCGAAGAAGGCAACGGAATCTTGCATCTATTATAGTGCCGAACACTGGGATCACTGCACTCAATATCACGGCAGTAACGCTGACGACACTAACCCACCAAAGGTCCGACGAATCACGGCATCCGACCAGCGCCTTTTCATGCATTCCCAAATAGCCATCGCGCGGCTGTCTACGAGAGGCTGTGAGGATTGGCCAAGGGGTTCTTCCCAATCCGCATAGGAAGCCAAAGACGGCACATGTCTGGTTCTGCTGGACGGGTTACTGGAGGGGAATTGACAGCTGGAAACGAGAGGCAGAAAAGGAGGAACATCAGTGGGGTGTGTCATCTATATGCTAATCGCACGGGCGACGTAAACCGTCCGTTCTCCGTAGGGTATGCGCCAAGGGAGCATACACATCCCTATGCAAGCGTCAGAAACACTGCCGTTCACTGCCCGAGCCGCGTCCCATTGAAGGGGACAGCCAGCCCCAAATAGGCCATGGGCATAGATAGCATCCACGCAGACAGGACGTCATCGACCCGACGTCGCTATGCGGCGCCGTGGGGCCGCTGAACGTTAACCTCCAACTCACTGTATCCATAACGTATCGCCGCACTCATCTCCTGGATCCAGATGCACGTCCACGATGTTCAGGACGATGATCTGGCCGGGCTCGGTGATGAGAGTCCACTGGATGGTCATGTTCGCGGGGTAGTAGTCCGGGTAGTGGGGCGACTTGATCGTGCCATTCCGGCCAGTGCCCTCATCCTCGCAGACTGGACGGACGGACAACGTGCCATCACCAGCAGGTCAAGGTCTTCAGCGTGTGGACCATGCTGGCTACCAAGGGTGCCGGAGAGATGGGTAGCTCCACCACCTTAGAGGGGAATCCTTCTAGGGTGGTCCCCTGGAGGGGAGGGGAAGGAGGCAATCCTACTGTGTCTTAACTAATGCTTTCCTGATGCTTCGAAAACCTTTGGTAATACTAAACGGCAACGGAAAAAGGGGTCATTGATGGAAAATATACAACTTGCATGTGAAAGCATCGATGCCATCACATACCAGGATCACTTTCAAGACCTTGTATGATACGGCTGTCGGCGGCTGCAAAAAAAGACTGTACCCTTAAGTCATATAGCGCATGGGGCGTTTGAACACCGATGCTATCAAAGCGCGACATTTCTGACACGTCCATTCTGTTGTCAGTACTGCACCATGCAGTACCAGTACCAACTTGACATAAATTGGTGCTTTGCCGCTGTTGCATGACACCCAGATTCCCTTTACGAAGTCATTTCCCAGGTTGGAAACCACTGCTCAAGAAAGCATGCAAATTTCGTAGCTACTGCCCGGTTAACAACTCCGTGATTGAATTCGGTGATCCGTGAACTCCTGATTGACTCTCCGTCCGCAGCACAACATTCCTAAATTATTGCGCAGAATTACGTGCAATATATGAGAGGGGAATTTAGATTAAATCTCCCCTCAGGTGTAAAGAGATCTAAAGGTTTCCAAAACAACACTGTAATGCCTAGCTTAAGGACGTATCTTCAGTGCTCGGCTATATTTCATCGCTGTTGTATGTGGTTGAAAGAAAGGCTCATTATGAATTATCCTGACGATTGGGATACATTTCATCCCGCAATTTATCAGTCTTCAACCTGCCCCAGCTGTGAGTCTGCGAATGATTGCAAATTTCGATATTTTCTCGACCAGTGCAAAACGGCAAAAACGCCGGCATTTGTGAAATAAAAACCGCCGGGATTTGTGATGCCATTGCGGGTCGATTGGCGCAATCTGCTGCCCCGGTGATCGCCATTGACCGATAGCAGCGGCAGCGGACAGCAGCGGCAGCGGCAGCCGATGGCAGCGGCAGCCGATGGCAGCGGATGCACGACACCAAGCGCAGTGTTCTTCCCACAGTCCGCTGCCGCTGTACACTCGGTCGATTGGCCGATACGGTTTAGCGGCAGCAGTAGGCACCTCTGTCGGCCGGGGGCAGAGCTGTCGGCCGAGGACAGCGCCCTCGCTTCTCGGCGTGAGCGCTGGCTGTTTCCGCGGCCTCGTTCAGGCGTCTGTCATCAATACCGCACCATGTACCACCGTACCGTCAGTACGCGCTGGCTGTTTCCGCGGCCTCGTTCAGGCGTCTGTCATCAGTACCGCACCATGTACCACATGTACCACATGTACCGTCAGTACGCACTGGCTGTTTCCGCGGCCCCGTTCAGGCGTCTGTCATCAGCTTTGAGCCGAATGATTCCACCCCAAGCGTTATCCATCTACACCAAAAGTAGTGCGCCAGCTACCGAGGGTGGCTGACTCTCTGTTTTTTTTTTAGGGCAACTAGGAAAGTTAGCAGACTCCCATAAATATGAACATACCGGTTGCAGCAGTAGAGACTATATCGTACTAACCTGACCGCTCACAGTTTTGTGCGAACTCCCCGGAGTTTTCACATTGAGAACTATAAGACTTCCGGCTCTTCGGACAAAGTGGCCCATGACCCTTACCAGGCAATTTGCTAGTGGGCTGCCACGGCGGAGCGCATGGTGCTTACCCAGTGGCGCCGGAGTAGAGAAGGGAGGACAGCTTGTGGTCGTCGTCTCCGGGCCTTTGGTGCTGGTCCCGGCGGACGAGGTCGTCGTGGTGGATTCCGCTGGAGATGATCCGGCCGATGATCCGGCCGATGATCCCGCCGATGGTTCAGCCGATGATCCGACCGATGATCCGGCCGATGATCCGGTCGACGATCCGGCCGATGGTTCGGCCGATGATCCAGCCGATGGTTCGGCCGATGGTCCGGCCGATGGTCCGGCCGATGGTCCAGCCGATGGTTCGGTCGGTACACCGGACGATGTTCCGTTGACTTCGGTCGAGTTGGTCTCAGGGGCAGCGGTCGTGGTCGGCACGAGCCCTGTGCACGACAGTCGATTGTCGGTGTCCGTATGGGCTCAGCTGACTCACTCAAAGGGACTGACAATGGCGGACCTGGCGGACTGAAGACTTACTCATACCCCAGCACACTACGCCGCAGACGAGGATGCAGCCTCGAAACATGTGCAGACAGGGAATTGCAGAAAAGGGCCCGATTAGCTGGCAGTCAAACCTACATTCACAAACGTCCAGCTTTTCGTCGTTCTGACAATCACGACCCTCTTTTGCGCCCCAATCTTCGATCCATCACTGTTCGCATTACCAGTAGTTATGTCAGCCCGCAGCCATAGTCATGCGACCATTCATAATGCCCGGAATTCAAATGCCAACGGAAGTGAAACGATTAAATAAATCATCCCCACTGGTCCTATTAGGCGGTTATTCTTGACTGGCCACAGTAGTTATGTCAGCCCGCAGCCAGAGCCATGCGACCATTTATAATGCCCGGTATTCAAATGCCAGTGGAAGTGAAATGATTAAATAAATCATCCCCACTGGTCCTATTAGGCGGTTATTCTTGACTGGCCACAGTAGTTATGTCAGCCCGCAGCCACAGTCATGCGACCATTCACAATGCCCGGAATTCAAATGCCAATGGAAGTGAAACGATTAAATAAATCATTTCCACTGGTCCCATTAGGCGGTTATTCTTGACTGGCCACAGTGCCTCCTTCCGTACTCGCGTGCACTCGATTGCACGCAATGTTGTTATTTTGTGCCGAAATGCAACACGACAACATGATATCAATGTTTTTAAGAGTTTATCGTCTCTGGCGCCACCCGGCCGCGAGGAAAAGCACGTTCTCAAAGACACAAGGCCAGAGACTCATCAGGATGATATAAAGTGCAAAGATCTATGCTGAATGCGAGAGACGGCCCCAATCGCAGATCTTTGTGTCGCCTTGCTTTGCACGACACTTCTTTACGAGCAGCCCTCGAACACATAATTTTCTGTGGCTTATTTTTGGGGAGCATTTTTCGGAAGCAAACCTACGGAAACGAGGCAACTAGAACCCTTTCACAGGTAAGATTTCCCACACGCAAACCACCCACTACCCATCGGCCTGTGCTGCTACTCACTCGTCACACATCCCTATTAGTTATACCTACCCGCTACCCAATTATGGCAGAGTTCCAGGAAATTTCACACTGAAAGATGCTGGGAAAAAGTAGTGTAAATGAACCCAATGATAACTTAAAGTGGCGCAAATATTACCATTAGCTAGCAATTACTAAGCATTACCAATGTGGTAATGCTTGGTAATTACTTTAAAGTGCTTTAAATACCAGTCATTTCGTAGACCTCACATCAATACCCATACCAATGCCCGTTATTTTTCCAAAACACAGGGTGTTTCAATAGAAAGGTTTGAAATGCGTGTGATCTGTATAAAAAACACTCAATGAAATGCCATTATATCACATGCAGTTGGACGTTAACATTTCAACATTTTTCTGTTCAGTGGCAGCATTCGTCTACCTTGCAAAACGCCTTCATGACCGCTCCATGGGCGTGAACACATTCCTGGAGATTCCGGAATGGTCCACATCTGCTGATGTCCTGCAGATGACGTGCTCAGCCGCTGAGCAAAGTGGAGGGAAACCTGCTCCTTTAGTTCCCAGACAACAATTAGTGGATGAAAAACATCAATCTAAATGCCGGACAGTTTGTCACAATTTTTGCCAGATAACGCGTGCTTGATCCATTTTTAGATGTTTTGTTTTTGCCGTGCTTTCGTGCACTGTTGAACTTGACATTTCGTTTGAAACACCCCGCACCCAATTCTGCTCCTTACACGTTCCATACATAATTGGCTTACCCACTCCGTGAAGTATTCCGCGAAAAAACCCGTACCCACAGCCTTAAGAATGGACAGAACGTTATGCCGCAAAAGTTCGCACCCACAAGACTTAGAATGAACAAGGCCCTACACATCATTTTTACTGTGTCTTTCTTCATGTTGTGTTTCTTCATTGACTCAACTCTTTGTACGCAGTCTCCCCGCACACAATTTGTGCTGTCGCATGTCGTGTCCGGCACAACGTTTTTGCGAGCCGCATTGTTTTCGGTGGGCAATTTATTGGTGCAACGTTTCTAATAAAAATGGATGGATAATGCGTCATAATTTGTAACGTACATTATCATCGTACGAACATTTGATATTTCATATGCTGCTTTCAACATACGTGTGCGCACTGAAGCGAAATAAAACTTCCCTCATTCACTTGACTGGGTCGTGTAAAAACCAATAGGGTGATAGCAAAGATTAGCGGTGATACATGAAGCAGTTCTGAAACGCGTATTTTGCGTTAAGTCGGACGCTGCTTGTCTGAAGCTGACAAAATTGTGCCATCGTGTCATCCTTTTCGTCTTAGGCATGACACGTAAGTTATAGTTTGCTTGATTTCAAAAGCAAAAGTGCCCTCGCTCCATTACATATGGGCACCATTCAAAGTTACCGACTGCCGTTGACATGTTGCAAGCCCTGCAATAGGCCCGAGGCATTGTTCTGCATTCCAAGACTAGCGTGTCCAGCTCTCATCACGAGCTGGGTAAAGCCAAGACATCGTTGTACTTGCCTGGACCCAGACAGAGTACGCGGAATCCTTTCTAGGCCCCGCTTGCAGGTCTGCCACGGATTATCAGAGCCTCACGCTGTATCGACTGGGCTACAGTGACGGATGAAGACCGGCGACTGGGCTACAGTGAAGGACGGGGACCGGCGACTGCGCTACAGTGAGTGAGGACTGCGGGGACTGCAGTGAGGGATGAAGACCGGCGACCGCGCTACAGTGACGGATGAAGACCGGCGACTAGGCTACGATGAAGGACGGGGACTGGCGACTGCGTTACAGTGAGTGATGGACACCGGCGACTGTGTTGCAGTGAGTTGTGGACACCGGCGACCACGCTACAGTGAGTGATGGACACCGGCGGGGCCACAATGAGGATGGACACCGGCGGGACTATAGTGAGAGATGGACACCGGCGGGGACTACACTAAGGGATGGAGACTGACGGGGAGTCCTTTCAATCACCAGCTCAAAACGGCCATCTGCGGAGATGGCAAATCATACAAGCATGTACATACAGCTATGCATGCCTAACGGGAAAATAGAAGGGCGGAAAGGCCAGGCGAGTACGCCCATCTAACAGCTGCAGCGAACATGATGAGAAGGGAAGAGCGTAACAACGGGTGTATAAGACGATGTCAATTTTATCCAACCCGCAACACAAAATCTTTGAGGAAAAAACGGGGAATGCAAAGTAAACGGGGAATGCAAAGAAATTGTCAAATGTCAGTTCCCGTAAAACGGGGAATGCAAAGGAACATGTGTACGAAAAGGAGATGGGAAGTACCGCTTATGAGAAAAGCTGAGATGCCAACAGTCGTATGCGCAAAGAAATAGGTCTTGTCAGAAATACCCGTGCGAAGGAATGGGCGACGTGAGAAGTATTTGTGCAAAGAAATGCGACAAAAATGCGCATGCACACATGCAGAGGTAAAAAATTCAATTTAAAGGGCCGTGTTTGCGAAGTCTTAGAGACATGAAAAGCTGCAGACAGAAAGTTGTACGCATGGCAAATATTTGCGATTTTCCAACATTATGTAAACATATCTTTGCTTACACAGATGTATGTGTTGTAATTTATGATGCAAAGGCCTGCGTTTAAGTAACAGGTTTTATTTAGCAGGTAGCAGGTGAACAGGTATTTAGCTGCGTTTAAATAACAGGTAACATATAAATAGCGCGGAAGGTTTTGAGCCCGAAGACTGCTCCACAAGTTTTTGAAGAAATTTTCAGCACGTAAAGTTTTGCGGACGAAGAAATGTAATTAGAAAATTGTGTGGCCAAATTTTGTTCCGGCTGGGCACGAGACACATTGCGACCACCTTGATTTCGTACCAGCCATGACAGCCATTACAATGCACTTTTACGTAGATCGGGCGACTTTCTTACTTTAGTAGTGTACTCGCGCCGTATTTGATTTGATATTCGTCAAAACTGCGCGCGACATTGCCATAAGCGAGCCAGGTGCCGGTATATTTCTGGCAGGGCCGGGAGTGCTATTTGAAGCGTGACTTTCGTGTGACCTTTATGGCGTGTGGCTGAAGCAGGGTTCGTCGGCCTTGCAACGTTGCCATGAAACTGAGTGCCGGGCGACACCACACTATTTGCATCCTGACCAAAAGAACACCGACAGATGTATCCACTCCACTCCACTCACCACACTCCGACCTGCTTTGAGGGTATTGGCCTTCGGGGCAAACGCAGGTGTTGGACCGGCAGATCGCCACGCCATTGGTCAGACTGCCGCAGTCGGAGTCTGCTTTGCACCAATCACCGATGAGGGCTGCAAAGAAATGGTAATGAAAACGTTAGATATCGATTCGGTAGTGCTCGATTTGATTCGGTAGCGCTCGATTTTCATTAAACTCATAAAGAGGAAAACCGATTGAATCGACGTGGACAGCAAGCCTGGTGAAAAGACGCATTTAGCATGTCACGCAGACGCAGATGCATCCGGCATGTAATTAACAGTTCAGTGATTAATGAAGATTAGCTTCGCCAAGCGGCAGAATGCTTGAATACTTTGCTCTTTTGTTCTGTTGATGCGAAGTGCACATTTTACACACGTTTGACCCATTTGCACATTACACAAGCACACATTTTACAAGTCAAGTCCGATGTACCGCCAGCCAGATCGAGCGGTCATTAACAGTCTTCTTTCTTCCAATAGGTAATCATCAACTGTCTGCGTCATGTCGACAACATGCCCATAACACACATCTCATGAACGGTTTGCTTCGTTCCGTAACTTGAACCTGATCCGACGATTAGTGTGCTTAAATAGCATTCAATTCCAGCTTAGAAGGCCTGCTTCACATGTGTATCGAGCTTTACAGTGAGATAGCCGTTTGAAGTTCATTGCTTCCAATTCAAAGTTACGACTTTTAAAAATGTCAAATGCTCTTTTTCTGAGCTAGACGCGCACGAACTTGTGCAGCGTATTTGATGGAACACCGAGACACGTATGCCGCCATTAAAACGCCACGCTAATTCCCCACCTCTAAAGCCATGCTGTGTTTAAGGTCAACAACAACATGCCCCAAGCAATTTTCGTCCGTTGTGCCGATTGAGCACCGAGTCGATAAGGGACTTTTTGTTGGCCAAGAACCACTGCTACCGAACCGTCGGCTCTGTGTCGGTCTGAGCCCGACGGCCCATTTACCGAGCAGCGAGGCCAGGCCCGCAATTTAGACTGGTCGGGGCCCCTGAGTCAAGAGGGGCCCTGGTCGGCCAGGGACACACAGTGCCCGACAGAGGTTCCTGTGTTAGCGAGCCGCCCCTAATTGATCAAGGCATCGTTCGAGGGGGCCAGAAGAGGGGCGCGAAGGGCCCTTCGGGACCGACGATCAGGGACATGACTAGAAGACGGGAGTGCCGGAAAGGCTGGCTGTATGTCACCTAAAGGATCCCAGCCCGTAAGTCAGTGACCTCAGATATCAGTCATAGGGCCTCTTGTGCCAACTGAGGACACCCTGAGACAACGCGGGCCTCTATGTCGACCATACACCACCAACACCGAACAGTTGTCTTCGTCTCGGTCTGAACCCTGGAGGCCCATTTACAAAGCTGGAATGAGGCCGAGGCCCGCACTTTGCTGGGCCGGGTCCCTGAAAAAATGAGGGTCCACAGTGCCGAAAGGAGGGGGGGGGGGAAAGGAAGTCCTGTGTCGACAGGGGCACCGAGTCGAGGCTGGCCAGGCCAGCAGTCCCAGACAGGACGTCCGTCCCAATAAATCAGTAGGTCAGAGCGGCTGCCGTAGGCGAGAAATTCATCCATATAAAAGGTTTGAATTAAATCTTTAAAAAATGGCCTTTCCCTGAGCTGATCCCGGGGACAGGGACAGGACTCCGAACACCAGAGGGCCTCTTACGTTGGCGGAGGTCTCTGAAAATAAATGCAGGGAGCAATACCCTACCCCGTGCTACGGTATTATTTCGTGCTACTGAAAGCAACATGATGTCTGATATTATCGGACATATAGTAAAGTGTCGCTTTTCTTGCGTTTTAAACGCTGAAATGCCAAAAGCCGAGATACAGCATATGCGAAGATAGCAATAACATGGTGCGTGAACATAAATTGTATTGCAAGGATATTCGAATTTTAACATTATATGTAGTTATTTGCTCATTGCCGACCACGCACTCGATGCCAAACGCTCCAACATGTAAAGGCGGATAGAGCAAGAGACTGCCGGCAGTTAAAGTTCCCGTTAACGGTATTGGGAAATGAACAGTTCATTTACCGTGGTACTGAGAACAAACTGGCTATGACATGCCAGCAGCGTGAAGAGGCTACAAAGACGGGCTCAACAAGCAACTGGTACCGTACCGGTACAGAAACACGTGGTAGAACAATGGCTGCTGAAGAATGTGTCTCAAAGCTGTACGAAGCATGCACTTTCACCCACCTACTGCGACATCCTACCCAGGCCACTGGTCTGAGATATTACAAGGGATGAGTGCGAGCATAGCAGTAGAGCGAAGACGGAGAAAAGACGATGCCTTTCTTTACGCTCACATGTAAATGCCCGTATCGTCTCCTAGTTGCAGGATCTTTCATTCGAAACGGACTCAAAGTTAGTTTGCACATGTACCTTTGGACGTTGAAATTGGAGGAAATTGTACCATTTATCTAGTTTTTTTTTTGGTTGTAGAGCTTCAGCTACTACCGTCTGGTGGCTGCTATTCGGTTCAAAATGACGCAAGTTGTCGAGTGCATTTGTGAGGAACATTATACGTACAGGCAAGACAGTTCTGTTAGCCTTCTTTCTTGTCGAATAACCAGGAGAAAGAATAGCTTGACACGCTATCGCTCTCAGGCATACTGTGCTGCAGGGCATGGGATGTTTTGCGGCGCAGTATGTGAACGCATACTGTTTAGTGCATACTTTTAAGACATCGAGCAGAAAACTCAGATTTTCTCATTAATTCACTTTGAAGTGTCCAATTGACCTTTTTTCGAAATTGTTGTACACCTAAAAAATTGGTTTAAGCTTGCAGTCTCCGTTCCAAATGGCGTCGATCAAAATGAGTCCATTACATTCAGCGAGCTCAGGAAGACCGATTTAACCCTGGAATGTGTTCCGAGCACAATGCGCCGCACGCAAATGAAGATAAAATATTCGCATGTCTCTAGCTTTGCTGGACATTGAAAGCAGACTAATTGATTTGTGCCTTACCGGGACGGATGTGCACGCTATCAATAACATTTTACATGGGTTTATTTCATGCCAGTGTGCCCATGTCACAGAAGCAAAGACAAAACCTTTCTTGACAGGTAGCGGCAAAAGAGCGATTTTGGCGATGTGTGAATGCTGGTTCCTCGTGCAAGGAAGGTGCCATTTTTCTATGTCACACCTGATACTGAAGTCCGAATCCTAAGAGGGTGAGAGCATGAGAACGTGAACGTGAGAGCGTGAGAGCTTGAGAGCGTGAGAGCGTCAAACCCAAGTTAAAGCGATGTCCGTCTGTGAATACTTGTGCGGTGATTGGCTCATGGCCCGTGCCTCTGTGTCTGTGTCGATCGCCTATGCTCCCTGCCTGTTCGCTGACCTAATCCCAGTTCGTCTCAGACAGATATGAGCCAGAGAGCACCCTCCCCACCACCTGACAATCCCATGCTGTGTGCTCTAAAGGTCACTTGCACATGACCCCTGCGGCGAGGACTCACCGTTCCAAGGCGAGTCACTGACTCAGCGACTCACCCATCTGGCTCCGGTACTGGAACACCACGCCGTCCCGCTGCTCCGTGGTGCCGTGGTTACCGCGCACCGCGTTCAGCGTGCAGTTGCTCGTGTCCGGCTCGAAGCTGTACCCCAGGCAGTCCTCCCGCGCCAGACATTTGGTCAGGCAGCTGCCTGGAGCGGGCAGACCCCGCATGGTTGTGTCACCAGTGGGGAAAGAGGGAAGGGGCGGAGAAATGAGGGAGGTCACATGAATCTGTAGACGCCATGCCACATTTCGCTGTTCATGATAACACAAGCTGCGTATTGCACACAATAGGTATTTCCTATAATCGTTTGCATCAATGTATCACAACTTGGAAAAATGAGAAAATGTCCCGGAGAATGGCCAGACAAATGCCCCGGAAAATGGAGCTCACCCACGGCTCGAAGTCAACACCCCAACTCGAGACGATGCACCACTAAGTGAGCGTGGGACAACTTCAATAAATGCTGTTTGAACGCGTGAACCCGTGAACGGGTTTCAGGATTCACTCTTGAGCGCCTGAACACGTTTCAGTATTGGCTCTTGAGCGCATGGACAGGTTTCAGCACTGACTTTTGAGCGCGTGAACAGGCTTTCAGTATTGACTCTTGAGCGCGTTGACAGGTTACAGCATTGGCTCTTGAGCGCCTGAACAGGTTACAGCATCGACTCTTAAGCGCCGGAACAGGTTTCAGCATTGGCGTTTGAGCGCCTGACAAGGTTTCAGTATTGGCCCTTGCACGCGTGAGCAGGTTTCAGTATTGACTCTCGAGCGCATGCACAGGTTTCAGCATTGACTCTTGAGCGCCTGAACAGGTTACACTTTTGACTCTTGAGCGCATGCGCAGGTCTCAGCATTGACTCTTGAGCGCCTGAACAGGTTTCAGCATTTACTTGCACTGCACTCGGACATGGTCCGCCCTCACTCGGGCAGTGAGCTGACCGCGGACGCCACGGGCCGGACCAACTGGCACGTCTCGTAGGACTTGGTGCCGTCACGGATAGGCATGCCCGGTCGCGGGCGCAGTTGTTAGGCATGTGAATGTTATTATTAGGCATTAGGCATTGTTAGGCATGTGAATGCTATTATTAGGCATTAGGCATTGTTAGGCATGTGAATGTTATTATTAGGCATTAGGCAGTTGTTAGGCATGTGAATGCCATTATTAGGCATTAGGCATTGTTAGGCATGTGAATGTTATTCTTAGGCATTAGGCATTGTTAGGCATGTGAATGTCACTAGCGCTATCAAAATAGCGCTTAGCCTGTATCGTCACGAGTTTGGTGTAGTTCATACATGCCTATTATAGTGTAGTCTATTGTAGAATATGTTTTGTATGCATGTTTTACAATAGACTATACGTGACGCGGGGGCATGTTGCAAGAGCCATCCATTTTCTGTTTCTGTTTTAGAGAGATAACGTTGTGGTAGTGAATGTTCTTGTAAAACTGTTAATATGCTGAGGTAGGTTTTCAATAAGAATGTAAGTTCGAATAATAATGCTATCAAGCTATGAGCATGCTGTAATAGGATCGAATAGAGGTACCTATAACGCATCTGGATCTGTATTGAAATTGCACAGCGTTTGACCCAGTACATCATGCACAGTTACAAGGTCATCAGTGAGTGTGGCCGGTACCCAGTCAGATCAGGTCATTCGGGTCAAACCTTGGATGCGTTGGACCTTTCTCGTCATCTTAAACAGCAGGCAAATACGACAGCGAAACCTGCGACGCCAGAAAGCGCGTGTCATACCGCCTATTATGCAAGCTCATATGGTGCATAAATTATCTAATCCCATGCCATACGGGTTACACTGTTACCTGCATGCCTAGGATCTTACATTGGACCCACTTGATATAATCTGACTATGGATGACCTGGTCCAAATGCTTTGTGCATAAATGTGTTATCACACTGTGATGACGCAAGACAGAACAATGTACTAACCCTCGCCCGGATTCGCTGCATTTAATAAACCGGATGGATAGGGAGGCATGATACGGTCGTCTCGGCTAGATCCAAGTTAAGACTGATAGCGTATTGCGGAGAGCAAACAGTGGAATGACCTCGGCCATGCCTTCCGACTGGATACGAGGTTTGCGTAGCTAGATCAGTTGGAGACCCGCCACTAGACCACCACTAGACCTTATCAGCTAATGTTTCCCAACAGTTGCACTGCTTCAGATTTGCGTGGCAAGATTTACAAAGGCATGCGGCGTAGCGGTATGCAACTATATTGCCGCACTCTCGGTTCAGTTTTGAGCACATGGAAGCCGGTTCTCATACGGTATGATCATACTGGGCGGATGGACCGATTCATCCACTGCCGGCCGCCGCCGCTGTCGACAGATCGTCGTGCAGAGCTCTAACAAACAGCGGGACTTGCCGCCATCGGCAAGAGATAGCCGTGCCGTCATCGGAAACAAACAGCGGGTCTCGACGGACTTAAGCAGCGCATGACAAGGAAGAAGGAAGTCGTAAAACAGCCAAAACATGCAACGTAATTTATGGATGGCCCCAAGCAAAGGTTATCAGCTGGTGGAGTGCGACAGGCGACAAACGTAGCAGTGAAAAGAGGTCAAAGCTCATACATTACAAAAGGTGCAGTTCTCAAACACCTAGCATTTTAAATGTGTCAAGGGTTCGGACTTTGACTACTGAAAATATCGCGGTATCATGCGTTTCGCCGTTGAACAATTGTTTAAGGCAAAATCCAGGGGAGGTCGGAGATCCGTCCTCAGGTAGTGGGGTTAAGGGGGTTAAAACTTGAGAAAATTAGGAGAAACCTGTAACTCATAGTCACTTCTTAACGGCATTTACTTACACTGCGAGTCGGCATTTTCAATTCCGAGCACGTGCTCCGGGTTGGTCAGCAGGCCCTGGCTCTTCATCAGGAAGGGTGCGGACCTCATGACGAACATCTCCGCGTCCAACGTCGCCCTGCAGACCGCGCCGCCCAGGACGAGTACAGACAGCGCTGCCGCCAGCACCGGAGACGTCATGACGAGGCGAGGCTCGAGAGGCGGCGGCGGCGGCGGCGGCGGCGGCGGCCGCAGTGGTCAACAACTGCCGCTGTCGGTGGTGACTGAGCCAACGCTCCAAGCGACGCCCCTAAACACGGTCGTATCCAACACCGGGCCGGGGTGCAGGCCCGGCCTATCGCCCCATTGCAGGTCACCCACCTACATGGCACCGGGCAGGTCAGATGCACGATGGCAAAGGATTCCGAGTGACCCACCGCAGTAGGATATAGGTTGATTATGTGCATAGCTTCTCAGCTCACTGCCTCGACAGCCAAAATTGTCAGAATTGTCCGGATGCTAGTAACTAAAAATGTATTCAAAATGCAATTTACGCAATAAGGTACACTTCTATGATTCATGAAACTGGGCCATTTAAAGATGTTTTTTTCAGCAGTACATTTGACAAACACTAATCATCAAACAGGGAGGTGAGTTCAATAGCGTAGTGGTTGAACTACGCGCCTGAGAAATCAAAGGCACGGGGTTTGATTACCCACGGTGCCTGCCTTTCTTACCATGGGCGAAAGGAAGACGACACCTCAAAGCCTCAGGAGCTGGGTGCGTCGAAAAGCCCCAATGACGCCCACAGGAGGCACCGATTTCATCGCCATCTGCTCACGTGGCTTCGCCACCGTCTTCAGCAGACTGCGGTGGATGACACCACCATCTGAATCCACACAGGCAGTCTTCGAAAAATAACTGTACGGCAACGATTGCCGTGTCTAGTTGATGGAACCCGTCTATGTCATCCACCTTGCTAAGTAAGGTCATGCAAATTTTGCATTTAGGCTGAGCTTCTCGCAAGCTGTTCAAATAACGACAAAAGCTACGCGCAAAGCACCTGCAATCCTTGAGCGTACGTCTAGTGGTTATCAAACATTTATAACTGATTCATTCATTATATATCAACATAAAAATAGCTTGATTACTATCGCATTATAAAAGATTTAAATGTATTGTTAAATATATTTATTCAAGTATCTAGATGTTTTCAATGCGAAGCTCACCCAGGCCAACACGTGACACCAAGCCGGAGAGGGACAGATCTCCTGCAGCTTTCAAGGTTCCTGTTTTCTAAGCCATGTTAGGACCAGCAACATACTATTTTGTGCGCTGGAATTATAAAGTTTGATCTTGAAACCCAGAGTGCATTGCCATTAATGAATGGCATATGTACAGAACGTTGCAACGCATGTGTTTGCTGCATTTACGCAGTAACATACCCCATGTGGGGGCAAAACAAATAGATTATTCAATTGGTTCCTTGGGCCTGGACGCGTTGGTTTTCTAACGGCTTTCTAATGCTTGAAGGCTAGATTAGTACAGGCTTCACAATAGCGCTTGCGGTCTACTAGTCAAACTGCTTTCATAGAGAGCAACAGAAACAAACTATCTCTGCGAATCGTGAATATAACGTGTAAGAAACGGGTATTTGACACGCTACAAAGGTAATGCTGTTTCATATGAGTACACACAGCAGGACCTATGTAATTTGTTCACACATCGATGACGTTTGGAAGATAGTTGCGGCTTGTTAGCAATGCTGCGCCTTTTCCCCATCGCTGCTGGATAACTCATTGCACTGATGATTTAATATTCACCACTCTCTCCAGCTCCTTTAAACACGCATACCTGCAAGGCACATTTAGCGTATATTTGGTCCACCAATCCCAATTATAATCAAACACAGAAAAACTTTAACCAGCAAGAAGAGTTAAGTTCAAGTTGTTGCCCGCAACAACTTGAATGTTTCGTCGCGGACAATCTTAAAATCTCACATGTTGGGGAAGTGCTGCCAGTTTCCCCTCCCTGAGGGTGCTATTTGATCATGACAGCACGAGTAGCGTTAACACCGGCCAAAAACTGACACGAAGCACCCCTTTCATCATAGCGCAAAGCATGGCCATGCCTTTACCGAAACTGGATTTCACAGTTTTGTCACTTCGACATGGCAGCAAGTTATATGGCTCCGTTGATCTGCCGCCAGCACAATTGTCAGCTGGAATGCGTGACGTCGCGCGTGCTGACAGCGCGTTCGATAACTGGGATGAAAGGAAAGGTTTTAAGTTTACTTTCCTCCCTTCTTTTGCCTTTTACTTCAGTCTGCACATTAACCCTGGCTTACCGCCGGCCGTGACACGCTACGTACAAAGTGGTGTTTGGAAGTTTGGCTCCTATTCCGGTAATACCATCATCTATCCCATCCGCATGTTGAGTGCTTTTTCCATGCGCAATCCGTTTAAATTTCGTCCCCCTAATTTTAAATCCTTACTTATAACGCTATTAATTTACAAGGCGACGCAACCACACACCACACCAATCACTGTCACTCATCTTCTCACGGCATATCAATTCCCTCCTTATCTATCTTACGTCGCATTCCCCCTAAATTAGAGGAAAGTGCCCCCCACCCCACCTAACGGCAGTACTCGCCAACGGAAGGGCTATCAAATCATACTACCGCTTTAGCCAAAGTGATTTTTTAATGTGGTAGCGTTTTTTCCCATGTTGACAGGCTGACAAAAAAAATCCTGGCATCATCGTCAGCCGGCGCGTGACGTAGCAGGCTTGGTGACTTCGTGGTCACGTGACGTGACGTAGCACGAATACTGGGCCATGATTGGTGCTGACAAACGTCCTGGTAACAGAGCTCACGTGGCCCTTATGTACCAACGGCCACCGGGCTCTCTTTCTCCGGGATGTACCATAGTGCCGTCGGGTGTAATTTCACACCATATGCATATACGAAGATTAGATAGCATTGGTAAGGCATACCATTCAGTCACTGCTGCCACGTTGATTCTCTCCTCTCCAGCACGTGTATCTGCTGTTGGTCTGGCGATGAGTACAGGTCACCCTAACCTTGCCGAAATGGACGTTTCGAGGCGGAAAAGCCCATGGTCATGACAAATAATTGGCATAAAAAACATACGAAGGCAGTTTGCTACTTCATTATGATCTTGCCAACATTTTGAAGCTATTGAAATATTGCAGCGTATAATTCATCCATTGCCTGCCATTATATTAGCAGCTCATTTTGGCAGTACATGCTGGTCTGCGCAGTTCATTAACGCGCATGCTTGGTATAAGCTCAGATGATGCAGCTCTACAAAATTGCCTTTCCCTTAAGAACTCTGGATTTTGTATGCAGGCAAGCATTGCTTGTGAGTCACCAATGCCTTAGTCACTGCAACCTACGTGAGATGCTGAAAAAGGTGGAAAAGTATTGCTGTTGGTTTCTTGGATAACACTCAGTACTATCTTTATCATGAGTCTTGCATGTTCTGGCGGCTTCATCTCTTTTTTGCATTCTGCCCATCTAACCATGACTGCATGCACTTGTCATGTCTGCAGCCTTGTGCAAGGTTAGCAGGTTTGTAGTGTCATATCACTGCATGTCATATTTTCTTATTATTTTTGGGTGAAACAGCCTGATGGCTGCAGCATGTTGCATGATGTGGAAGCGGGAAGACATGTTTGCCTCTTTGTCACCTACGTTTTGCGATTTCTCAAAACAGGCTGACCAAGTGATGTCACTTATTGGTTGTGTGTTTTGCTGAAAGTGATTTGTATGTTATATCATGCTTTTTTGTTCAGTCATACGTCAGCTGCGGAGTTAATACAAGAATGAACACTTAACCCTTCTTTTTATGATATAATTTACAATGAAAGCAGCAGGGATTGCTGTACAGAAACCATATCATTGTTCATGCCATGCTGCAGTACAGCACTGAGGTAGTGCCACCATGATGATGCTGACACGTGACATACACAATGTACCACATTGGTTGAATACTCTTTATCAAGTCTATGAGATTACAGCTTAAAATTTATGAATGACTGGTAACAACTGACTTGAAAATGCCAAAGGACTATCACCAGCGAGAATGGTGTCGCACTACAATGGTTATATCAGGGTTAACTCGTAATTGCATAAATAATCCTAAGCAAGACAAATTATTGTTGGTGCTCAACATTATCATCTTTACCATAGCAATAACAATGGTTTCACATCAATTCATAACAATGATACACATTTATTAATTTTTGCATGCAGCTGTATTTTCCGTTACAAATAATAAAGAAAGTGACTACTGTGTACATCACATAATATTAATGTCAGGACTACAGCACAGCAGGTAAGGATAGGTCGACAAAGCAGTACTGATATCCTTAACAGTTCTTGGCGGGCTTCGGTAAGAGATTCATGACACTATAGGACAGTTTCACAGCATATCGTGCTTTGATATTAAAAGGCTGCCATAAATGCTGGTGACCGCTACGTTGCCTATGTCAAACAGTCAATCAAAGCTTTTCTAACGACCAGCACCGAGACAAAACAATCCACAACCAACCATTCACTAATCCACCACCCAACGCAGCGCCCGCGACAAGAATGGCCGACCGACGTCGGCTTTCGTGCGTTTCGAGGTACTCTTTAGGTCTGCCTGCCAGATGCTGCCAGTTATTGCTATCATCACAAAATCATTCCATGACGCCATCAAACGATAACGTAATGGGGTGCATTTTTACAACCTTTGAAGTTTTGCTACTTATGGTCGCTTTTGAACCTTGAAAGTTTACCAATTGTTACAAGTAAGCCTTTCCCACCATGTGTGGTGCTTATCTCAATATTTTCAAATGTGGAACATTCCCTTTAACCTCACATCCACTGTAATTGAACTAATAAAGCGATATCTACCATCCCAAAAAAAAACGAGGACAAAGCTTTCGTGTTTTGTATTGTATTTCTCACAAAATGGGAGCTTAAGCATTTGTTTCCTAGCGGACAAGGCAATAAATTTATATCTTGCTCGTTAGAAGTCTACTTTTTTTGCATGCTGCCGACATATTTCCATCACCCACTTCCGCGCTCCAGGTCCGGACTTGTACCCATCTCTCCTCCCCCCCCCTACTCCTAATCTGTGGGGCACGACAGCCACACCCATCTCTGCGCCATTGCATTAGCTCTGGAACATGCCCACTATAACCGTGGCATCCCTACCGCGGCCAATCATTGGTCAATTCGGGATTTGGGGTCGATTATGCAATGCGCACGAGAAGCACGACGCCCTTAGAGTCAAGAGCAGCCCATGCAACACGATCAGGTGGTCAAACAGGAACAGCAGAATGACATTTAATAGTTCTAACTCATTCCGACCAGATATTGCTCAGCTGACATCAATGGACTAATGGCGTGGCCAGTCACGCAACACGCCTTAAAAATATGCTAAAGCCTTTGAGCAATGACAGTGTCCTGGAGCACGCCACATTAGCCCACGGTTTTATAGCCAACAGCAATGTAAACAGAAGGGCGCGGTGGGAGTCGGTGCTTGCGGGGCGCTTCGCACGACCGGATGCATCTATAAATCAGCGGCTTTGGACGGATGGGCATGCCATACCAGCCAGCAATTTTTCGACGACGCGGCCGGAAGACGCGACCTATCCATGCTGCCGTCGACCCGGAAGCGGCCAGGTGATTACCTGGCCAGCGGTGTCGTGACCATGCGCCGCCCGTGTGAGCGGCCGCTTCACGAGGCCCGGGGTCATGGCGGACGGCGGAAGTGGACGAGCTGTCGTCACCACTGGTGACGACCATCAAAGCTGGGGTCGACCGCCGCGAGCGACACTCGTCACGGCTGGGGACGACCGCCGCGGGCGACACCCGTCACGGCTGGGGACGACAGCCGAGGGCGACACTCGTCACGGCTGGGGACGACCGCTGCAGGCGACACCCGTCACGGCTGGGGACGACCGCCGCGGGCGACACTCTTCACGGCTGGGGACGACCGCCGCAAGTGACACTCGTCATAGTCCAGGCTTCAGCCAGGCGAGTTACGATGCTGCTGTTTGTAGCTTAGGTTTTCTAACCACCATTTAAGAAGGCGCACCGTTCTACGTTGTTATGTTGTTACCTTTGCCATAGTTTAAAAGTGTCAGCACATCTAAAGTCTAGCTGAAAAATCGAAAAATAGACAAGCACTTCTGCTTTGCAGATGTGCCCAAATGCGGCTTGTCCATTTTGATCGGCACGTCACTTGGTCACGCTGCTCCATGATGTCAAACGTCTCTGCACGCATCGCCATAACCCTCAGCACATTGAATCCATCATCAGTGTTACCACATATGAATATGTGGGAAGTGTGACATACCACTTTACCTCGATTAGCCAGCAAAACCTTAAGTTACCGCTCAGCTCAGCTCAGTAGGCCTCCATGTGACCACCAA